TTTCCCAGATTAATTTCACACCCACCCTTCTTAGCAACCTGCGGTTTTCGAGGCGTTCTGTAAACTCCAGTTTAAAAAAAACTCTATCATTTTCTGTTATGCTAAATCTTGAATGAACAACTGAAAATATTTTAATCTAATTCGTATTTTTCTTTCCTGGTGGGCGTAAGGAAAGGTAATACGTTCTGCAGTTTAGGTATGCATACGTAAGTTCGGTCGCCCCTCTGCGAGTACTTCGCCCACATATCATATGCACACCCACGCTCCTAAATTGGGCAAAGGCAATCATGAACTAAATGCCAAATACTTAGAAATTATGTATAACTCCTTTATTCTTATAGTCGCTTCTTTTGACGTTTCTTGTCTAGACATTTTTATTTTTCACGGTTTTTGAAACGGAGAATTGATGTCCTCATAGTGCGGTGATCAAATTCCTTCAAATTTCCGGTCACTTCCGGTTAGATAGACAAAGTATCGATGATGTCTTTTGAAACATTTATTTCTGAATTCTTAAGATCTCTGAACTGAGGAAAATTTAGGTCCGATTTATTAATGTAATCGAGAAGTAAGTGTCTAGCGTTCACCAAAGAAAAAACAAAAATTTTCCACTGATGAACAGCCTGAGGGGATAACGGTCTAGAGATTTTGCTACATCAACAAAAGACACCAAATGATGTGTCTTTCGTTTTTAAGGAGGAGACATAAAATTAACCCGATTAAGCAGAAACTGAGGCAATTAAGGAGTGAATTGTGGTTTATACTGATTCAATTTAGTGAGTTTATTTGCGCAAATTTTAAGCATGCATTTCCGCTGTTTTCACACAATGCTCCGAAGAGTGAATATCAATTGTTTTCTTGACCAATCAAAATTTGACTTTTGTTCAACTCCCAAGGTCCCGGATAACAACAGGAAACGGCCTCGCTAAGAAGAAAACCTCAGATATTGGTCAAAGTATCCACAATTTGATCCAATTTTTCCGCCAGTTACGGCTTCTTTGAGGAAACATGGCCGAAATAGACGAATCTAAGAGGCCCTCTGTTCGTCAAGGTAAGATATTGCACCAAAAGTGTCGAACATCGCGCAGAAGTGAATCCCGTGAAATCGATGTGACGAGATTCAATGATGATCGCTTGACGTCGGATTTGTGTATTCGTCCAATTTCATGCATGGGAAATAAGTGACAAATAGCAAAATTGCTGCGTATTTCATTTAAAACGTTTTGAAATGAAACGTACCATTTTAATTGTAATGATCTGAGCCTGTGTTCTTCATGATTTCAAACATTTTTGTAGAAGAAATACGGCAAACGTTCGAATTTATTTTGTTTCATCCGATCGACGGGTTCACAACTGTTCTCAAATCGGTATGTTGCTCAGGGAAGGTTATCAGTTGTGCAAATTTTTTTGTTTCTTTTTGTAAACCACTCAAACTGTGTCTTGCACAGAATTGAACTTTCGATCCTAGTAGGTGATGGGTGAATTAACTCACAGCTGTTTATCTGCCTGGACAAGCGGGGCGGTTACAGTTTAAAATTTCACTTCGCAAAGTTTTAAATTTTCTAAAAAAAATTCATGGGCACGATACAGCCGATTATTAAAGCAGAACTTTAAAGTAACTAATATTTCGAAGCGTGATAATCTTATGAAAAAGACTTGACGGGCCAAATGCAGCCGATGGCGTTGAGTGAACCAAATTGTCAACAGTTCGTAGCTTACGCCATTTTTTCTCTCTCATAATTTATCATGCAAAGCCTTTCGATGATCATTAAATACTTGCCGGGATTAACCACCATTGTTCCAAATTGTTCCCTTAGATACAGTAAAGGGAGAAATACAGCCCGATCGAAATACGGAAAAAACTTGCAGACACAAATTACTGCAAAAAACTAAACGTCGAACGCCTGCAGAGAGATAAATTCTACTTTGGCTATATATCAATTCAAATTCGTCTCTAAATCTTATAAACTTTACGTTACCTTAAAAAAAAAACACATTTGATGTGTTGCTAGGAATTTAACCTTGTAACTGTATATCTAGCCTTGCTTTTTATGTTATAGGAAGCTAATATTTCTTCCGCCAACAAGGAATACTTCTTGAGGAGTTTTTTTTCTACTTAATTTAAAAACATTTTGCTGAGATTTGAAATTAAATGTCATTAATACTCAGTCGAGGTTTATTACTGAACGTAAACATCGATCTCGATTGAATAAACTAGGTAATTGACATTTCCTTTTTCCTTACGTACTTACAAATATTTTATGTGACAAAACTCTGCAATGGTGAACTTCGTAATCGCGTGCATCCTTTAAAATCTGAAATTGGATGATGAAATCATTAAGTGTTAGAAAAAATACATTTATTTTGTTTTGGAGTGTTCTTTACTATTTTTCCTTTCAGTACAATAATTGTTTATAATACCTACATAAAATTGCTTTTTACATATAAGATCATTTAAGGAAATATAAGCAAATGCAATTTTGATTATAAATTTTTTTGCCAAAATTTGATACCCAGCGTGAGGTATTTTTTTTGTGTTATTTATAATCCAAACAGAAAGTTGTACTTAATGGCAAACACGTCCGTCAAGTCGTGCTTTTAAGATCTCAAAATTGTGGTGTGATCTGAAACTCCTGCACTAATGAGCACCAAGTGGATCCCTTCTGCACAGCTGTTGCTTAAAGATACAAGAATAATTCTATTTTATCCACTTTCTTAGGTTTGGTAATTGTTTCCACATCATCAAGACACCGTCTTAATAAAAACAGTCTATGAACAATAAGTAACCGCAGGTCCACTAGCATTGAGAATGCTCCTTTGTTTGAAAACACAAATTGGCTTATTTGGAGTCTTTCTTTGTCTTGAACATCATTTGTTTTCAAATGTCCTATATGACAAATAAAAGTTTAATTTTAATTGATGTCAATGATTTCATTTAAAAAAAAAAAATTGACATTGCTGGTTTGTGATTGAAAAGGATGTGAATAGAAGTTTTAATAGATTCAGTTCTTAGAAAGGTTCGTAGATGAAATTTTGGACTAATTTGTGGCCATTGTAAATTGCATTTTATTTGTTTGTTTGCAATTAAACAATTATAATATGTATTTGAGATATGTAACTACTGATGAGGGCAAAGCCCAAATCAACTGCCATGCATGGATGTGGGGAATGGATAATCTGATTTCTCTTTTGGAATAAATCTGTTAGTTGTTCAACACTTATCTGTTATGAAATAGGTGACAAGTAGCAAGTTAGCGTAACCAATCAGATCCTAGCATTTGTGATAGAATACTGGCAGGTTGATACTGAAATTTATGAGGCTAGTAATGAAATAAATCGAAAGTAGATCATCTCTTAAAAGTCTTTTTGGAAATAGTGGAGTTGATTGTGCCTTAGTGGGCAGAACAGAGAGTTAATGATTTCCAGAGCCTCCAAATTTGATTTGAATTGCCTATTTTTTCTAGTGTGCCAGGACTTCATGGTACGAGAAGATGGAGCATTAGCTCAAAGGCTGCAGGATGAAGAATGTGAGTTTGCCACCCTTTTCTATATTTGTTCTTTTTCTGATTATTTGAATTAAAATTTTACCTCTTTTGTGTTTGTTTGTCATTGGAAATAATTTTGTTAACCCTTTAACTCCCATGAGTGACTAAGACAGCATTTCCCCTTACAATATTATTACAATATCAACCAGATAAGTGATGAGAATGGAGAAGAATATCAATTTGGGGATAATTAGTTGATCCAATACAAAATTCTCTGAACTAACATTATAATAATTGTATGGTTGACAGTAAGGAGAATTACAAATGCGATCTGGGAGTTAAAGGGTTAAGGTTTCTTTTGACCATGAATTACATGCAAATTACGTAATTTTCACAAAAATTGGTTAAGAGAATAAGGGAGTACAAATTGTTATCTGTTTCCAGCTTCGACTACCATGGCTATTTTCAACCCTCAGAGTTCTACAATATCACAAACAATTAATGTGTACAACTAACAACGACTAAGAGTGACTAGCATCTATTTTCTCCTTACAATATCACCCCTGAATCAAACATTAAACATCATCCCAAAATTAAAGGCAATGATTGCCAACTAAAGACTGAAGCTCTCGATTGTTAAACAAATTCTCCTTGTCAGCACCTCAGGAAATATAGAGAGAGGAGTGTGAAGAGTATGCATACTGATGCTATGCTGTAAGGGGTTACTCTAATCGTATCTCTGTGACAAACCCTTATGTGTGTTATGCGTTGAAAACCAGTAACTGTGATGCATTGGGTTTGAGGTTGTTTTCAAGATTTGATGTTGTCTTTCATACAGTTGGTGATCACTACCTTAGAAATCGCAGTGAACGGAAAACAGTCAGAGAGAATGTTAAAGTTGCAAAGATTACTTATTTAGAAGAAGTCAA